TGCTCAGATCTGTAACGTTACATTACACGCGAATGCTCCCGGTAAGGGAGCACCTTAACATTTAAACGTGATCCTTCAATATAAATGTAATGATATGTAAATAGCTTCTTTGAAAACAAACGGTGTGCAGCGAACATCGAAAATACTAATTGCGGCACACCTATCGTTTATTTTAGTACACATTTCCCATTTAATATTATTCGTGTTAATATTAAGTATATTAGAATTGAATAATTTAACTATTAACTTCCAAGTTTATGCTTGTTGTGCATTGTACAATTTCTATACAAAATCGTTATGAATATTAACTGCGCGTGTAATTGAACAAGGACTATATTTTATGAAATTTTGTAAGCAGCTGTTCTTTAGTCGAGTCATTGTTCGTCGATATGCATGATTTGTAGTTGAATTCAATTTTCTTCCGATAATATCTTTTATATGGTTTATAACAATCATTGAAGCCCACGTTTGGTCTGTGTAGGTAAGTGAATATCAGGTCAATTTTTTATTTTTCTAGCGGCCCGCCCTAGCTACTCTCAGGCGCCATCTCTCGACCTTATCCTAAGTACAACGAACACAACAAAAATATATATTATCCAATCTGGTCTAGTAGTTCGGGAGTTATGCGCGTACATAAATTTTGGTGATGTAGTTATATTTATTTAGATGATTAATAATTTTATCCACTTTTGTGGTAGGCACCTAGCTATCACTGGGCACATCTCAGGCTTAAATTGTAGACTAAGTCAGGTATTCTAATTCAAAATAAGTGCCTTTTGTGTCCTCAATGTGCTCTTAGGAAGAAATACTTACAAGAAGACTTGCTTTTTTCAGTTCATTGTCCGATCTTTGTCTTGTATAGTTCAACAAGGCAGTCTGACAAGATCTTGGCAAGTTAAGAGCATTGTCATAGAATATGCTAGAAATGTTTTAGTTACATCCGTGTACCGTTTACTGTCCCCATTTCTCTAGTTAAATAAGAAAGTAAATGTATATATTGTTGTTATGTTATCGTAAAGTGTAGGTAAGCATGATACACAGTCGTATATTACGGTCAAATTAACAGATTTTAATACTTTCTAAGTCATGGGTTTTTATTGTGGTAATTATTAGGTAAGTACTTGTAAGATGATGCATGCCACATTTTTATAACCTACCAATGGTATAATATGTCGTGTCAAAAGCCTACCAATGGTTTATGTCTCTGTACTGAATTAATATTTAATCTATGACTGCACAAAGTAACCAAACAATGCTATTAAGTACTGAAAGTGCTGAATCAGTGATACCAGTTATGACCTCCAAAAAATCCAAAATAGAGTAAGAGAACATTAAGGATATAAAAATATTTAACCATAATTTCAAGTCACGGGTATTATTCTACTTACAATATTTACATTACTCACAGAATGCGTACATAATTTAAATTAAATATAACTAATTTAATTTATTTCAAACTGAGTCCACTGTTCGAGCATGAACATCATTTGTTTATAAACAATGTTACTAATTTTAAATATATGAATGTGTCAGTTATTTTCTTTTGCTTCCTAATCTCCTAGATTCACCCTTTAACAATTGGGTATTTTCCTGGGTCAAAAATAAATGAGGTAAATTTGATTTGTCGATCCAATTGAATATTCGAAAATTTACCATTTCATTCATATATTTGACGATATACTTAATTTTCGATTTATTCTAGCATTTTTTTTTAGAAATAAGTGTGCTATTTGACTCGAAAGTTTTGTTCTTGGTACAAAATTCATAGAACAATATCGTTTTTGACGTTTAGATAAAAGTATATTTTTTAAGGGGCGAAAATCATCGAATGACTTCTCCCGCCTGGGTGAGGCGGGAGGGAGTGTCAGACTCTTACTGACTAAAAACCACCCCGTTCCTTCTCCTGCACGTCGAGCCCCGGTTACCCGTTAGGTTCTCCGCGACTAGATAAAAGTATTGAATTTGATTAGTTGTAAAATAACGTATTGCGAAGCCATATATGACCACTCCTACTCTTATCTTGGGTGGTCAAGAGCATAAAGAACTACGCAATTGTCAAAGATCTGGTAGCAGCGCTCTTTGATAGGTGACATAAGCTTTTTAAACTGTGATGTGATGCTTTTTTCAAGCAAGGAGGGTATATAGGAAGTAAACCTTATCATCCAGAGGAAACCTTATAGTCTGCCGCGCGCGCGCACCGTGCCAACTTCCCCGGTGCGACGATACGTCCACGCAAGTCGCGGCCTTCGTTTATCCGCGCGTTTATACACTCAAATCGTGAATATGTTTGGGTCTCCCCACTAGGTAGGCAGATTGAAGACCACAGTTGAAAGGTTGAGTTCTCAGAGCATTTTTTCCTAACTATTTTTTTAACAGTGTAGAACTGTTCGACCACGATATTGCGAATAGATCTTACAAAAAATATTTCGAAGACGGTCCTACTGTTAATTGAACTCTGCACTAAGGAATCAATTTGTTCTTTAACATGATCAAGCTGAGGCCTCTTTGATTGCCATTATTATTTGATTGTCATCGTTCGGCCCTCTTCAAAACAAATTTATAAATAAACTTGAAGTATCAATGAACTTTTTGGTAGGCTCCTACGTTTAAAAATAACCTGGTTAATCGTAACCGGTTTGGAAAGGTAAGGTAGACATGGTTTATAGTTGCGGTTAGCTGTTATCTGTTACCTATAGGCATATACATAGGTACCGCGACTAGGGCTGTGGAGAACCGCAAGGAGTTACCATGGCTCTGGATGAAACGGGGTGGTTTTTAGTCAGTAAGTCTGTCACATAGTATCGCCACACCCAGGATGGGAGAAGTCATTCAATGATTTTCTCTCCTCAAAAAAGACAAACAAATAAACAGGAAATAATTCTGATTCTAGAGTTATTCATCACTGGCAAGTGACAGGCATATAATTAAACAACGCCTAATCTGTGTAAAAGGATGTCGCGACTGAATATAGCAATACAAGCATATGAATGACTACATAAGATATATATATGGAACTAACTTCCAATAAATAATTTATAGATTTTAACATAACTCGCTGAGTTTCGCACATTATTAAGTGCTCACACATAGGTCCTTCGCTAAGGAATTGGCGGATTTTTTACGAGATAATTTCGATTCAACTGTGTGTATATCTGTGTAAGTTGTTATGTAACTGACGTGTTGTGCATAATATACGTACTCCTTCATCACAAATTCGAAATTCATCATTAAAAAAAACAGTTAAAGTTATAAAGATAGGAAATTAGAACTTCTTACTGGACATGCGTGTTTTGATCACTCAACCAATAAGACAGTTGAGTAATGTATACCCAGTTCAATCAGCTGAGACTATCAACTGCTTATCTTTGACATACAAACAAACTTATAGATATCTTTTTAAAGTAAAAGAGGTTGTAATTAGGTACCTATTTCTAGACCTCGTGTAGGTACTTATCTATCGAGGGCATGCACAAACAACAGTTACTTGAAAAACCGATATAAGTAATTTATTTGATTTTAAACTAGAAAAACATGTAGCATAATCATCATCATCAGTCGAAATAAAGAAACTGATTAAGAAAACTAATATTTGTAAGGGTTTTCGTATAGTCTGAGTTAAGTGCGCAACTTGGGATTATAGGAGGTATTGAGGTCACCGAAAAGTAGATGCTGCTGCCCACTCCGTATTAGCTAGTCACAGTTTTACGATGAACTCATTTTTTCCAAGAGAGAAAATCTCCTTGGAGCCTGGGGAGGACGAAGGGACTATCAGACTCTTATTGATTAAAAGCCACCGCGGTGTGGCGGTGTCCCGTCTCACATGGGTACGAGGGTACGGAAAACATTCTCCCGCAGTTTAAGACAACCTCACTCCAAATAGTGTGGCATACCTAGGTAATAAGAATTTTGATGTTGTACACGAAATTAAATTATGTACCGTTGGCGTTCAGTCGCAACCATTACAAATCGAAACAAACGAAACCGGTTAGGTACGTAGTTAATGTATATATTATGTATACCTAACTGTTGATTTTTTTAAGGGGGGAAAATCATCGAATGACTGCTCCCGCCTGGATGAGGCGGGAGGGAGTGTCAGACTCTTACTGACTAAAAACCACCCCGTTCCGTCTCCTGCACATCGAGCCGGAGCCCCGGTAACCCGTTAGGTTCTCCGCGACACCTAACTGTTGATTGAGAGTTACAATTGAGAACTTATCATATTTTTTTGTTAAATGCCCCGACGCAACATTTTACTTACTAGTTTTAAGGTCTATCTAGTTTGTTTACGTTAAATGCATCAACATCAGTTATGTAGGTCAGTTTCTTGTTTTGTTTTACTTGTGTTTTTGGAAAGGATCTTGTATAAGAGATCACATAACTGCATGTGACGAGATCATCGGTCGCCGGCGCCGACCGCCGCGCTTGCGTCACTGCTAGCACCAAAAACGATGCTGTCGAGGTGCCTTACTTTAAATTGATGTTACTAGACTTCAACAGAATTCCATTACGCAAAATCTAGATTAAATAATTTTCTATACTTCGAATATTTAGATTAATTTCAATTTTAAATTGATTTTGTTTTAATTTAGTAAAATTTTAATTAAGTAGCTAAATATGTAGGCGGTCGTAATACTTAATCGTGGAACGTAATAAAATATTATTATTATACATACAATGAATACTATAACCAAGAAACCAGTATTCAATAACATTTCCTGTTCCTGAATATGGAGCATACGCTGTATTTAACACATTAATGTCAAATTGTCACACTCACAAGAGATAATTTGAAAACAGTTTTTCCGAATATTTTGTACGATTGGCGGAGATGGGAGGCTGGTCAGTGAAGTGAACTCGGCAGTCGTGATCCGCGCGCCTTCGCGTCAACTCGTGCGCAGCTTCGTGCCGTGCGGTGTGAGTGATGACCACTGATTGGACCATTAACATTCATTGAGGAGGTCTCGACCTCGCATCCTGCGGTACGTGTGTACGCGTGTGAAATGGTGAGTACTTCCGTTTGAGGACCAGCAGCGATACTATCACGGCCATTCATCATGCACGAAGGATATTTTTGTTTATTTTTATGCAATAGTGAAATAACAATAAAATGTTAACTCGAACCGGTAACTTGATTAGCAAAACGTTTTGATTTCGATACAAGGATATGTGTTACGGAGAACGGATCGAAGGATCATAAAATTCTCATTTTATGACCATGGGTTTTTCAAGTATGCGTCAAGTTTATTGAGGGATACCTTCATAAAGTTTTTAAAAATCGATCTCGAACGTCATTTCTTATTGTACCGCCAACCAATTATTTTGTAATAGATACCTACATACATGCACAAAAATATACCTAAGGCACTTAGGTATAATGCCTTTTCGTATTTAGATGTAAATTCACGCTGATAACAAAAACAATCGCTGAAAGAAAAGAATATTTAAACAAGACATGAAATTGTGGAAAATCTTGGTTTACAACCATTCTGCTAAATTAGTTCCATCGACCATAAATCATTCACTATTGTTGCGTATACGCATGTTGAAATAGTATTTTACACAAATCGTGTCTGGCCGAATGACAATAGACATCGTATTTACGTTAATTTTGATGTTCATAAGCGTGTGAATTTTAATGTTTCGCTCATTTCGTCTACCGTAATTGAAATATGATGTAAGTCTAAGTTATCAGTACTGATAGTTTTTTTTTTGAGGGGGGATAACCATTCTATTACTTCTCTCGCCCAGGTGAGGTGAAGAGTTTCAGACTCTTACTGACTATAAACCACCCCGTTCTTACTTCTGCACTTCGAGCCGGAACCCCCTGCAACCCGTTAAGTCCTCCGCGGCTCCGTATCTGCATCAGCCCTATTGGGCCCCATCTGTGGTGGTCTGATGGCTGTAGGGTTTCGTTACGGGACGGCGTGCTATCTTTGTTCGTCCTCCGCAGAGAACCGATACAGTGGTACCTAAATTAGACAAAGTTTTTTTATGGGCTGACATATATCACTTGATGGTAATAAGTAATCAGCGCCGTTCATGGACACCCGGAACATCAGAGTTATTCCGTTGCAGTTATGTCGAAAGTACATACGGATCAATATACTTATTTCACTTTTATGCTATACTTCCTCTTCTTAGTCGTAAACTCCTGACGTAGTGGTCGTGGTCAAGGATTCATCTTTTACGTTGGTTGCGGCTTTTGCGATATTATCCTACCAGATTGTTTTATAGGTTACCTCGGTCCCGGACTGAGTCTGCTGTAAGAATGTAAAGACCGGTGTTCAGCAATATGCTCAGCTCTACTCTATCCCCTTCACACGGAATTTTTACTAATATGTGAAAATTTGTGTGTATGTTTGTTACTCAATCACGTGAAAACGGCTGAAGGGATCGGAATGAAATTTGTAACAAGGATAGATCATAGTCTGGAATAACACATAGGCTCAGGTCACTATCTGCTTCAACCAACCTCTCCTAAATTTTAAGGAACCCCTAGGTAGGTAGCTAAAATAGGTGACGTTTAACGATATTTTGGATTTCACAAACCTGTTAGTGACACCTGACAGTATAAGTAAGGGGTTAGTTTAGGAGTTTCGTTACGCTAAGTACGTTTTAGTTAAGAGATGATTGCTAAAAGTGGCCATGAAAAACTCTATACGATAAGTTTCTGTTGTTATATGATTAATAGTGTTAAATACGGGACAGATGAGGAAAATGGCGGAGTTACAAATTAACTACAAAGACTTTGATTTGATGCCTTCAATTGACATTAAGAATTTAGCGCTGAATAAACAATGTATGTTTTGGCCATTGTCTTTGGTTCAGATACAAACAGTTGTCGCTCACATTCTTACAATATGCGCCTTATTGTTTTAGGCATTTGTTTGTTATTTTTGTGGGTTACAAATACTTTTTATTCACGTTTGAACCGATTGGTAATAGTATGAGTGTAGAGTGAAAGATTGTTCGGTTGTTCGGGCGAAATTTATTTTGATTTTAATTGAAAAAATGTGGTTCGATATTAATTTTTTTAATTGCTTTGGACTATGCTATAGACTTTAATTAGCTGTCTCAAACTCTTTTTCGTGTATAACATTATAACATTATGTATACAAAATAATATCTCGTAATTTTACAATTAAATTTAAAATAATTATGTTCTTCTGAGAAAAAAATTGTGATGACATTAAGGACTGATTTTTGAATCATCAGTTAATTCTTAACTGTAGAATAACATTGACATTTGACAGTTTTAGTATGGAAGAATTGTCTAATATTCAGTTAATCCTTAGTAAAATTTATATGTGGCGTTGGAAAAATCGGCTAGATTATATAATATTTATGTCCTTCGGCAAAAAAAGTGGTGACTTGTATGTGACGTTAATTTTTATAACATACCATATTTAGGAGGAAAAATCGCTGTTATTTACTTAGTTATTTAGATTCATAATTAAATGGCGATATAGTTACCTTCACACACCATTTAACTGCATCCTCGATTAGTTAGAGTTAACTGTTAGTCAAGTTTCATAAAACTAGATAAAGTGATGACCTTAACTACAAATGGATAGATTTTTTGTTGCAATAATTACATAATTACAAGGTTTTAGAAGAAAGAAAGAAAGAAAGAAAAACATTTTTACTTATTATGTACGTCGAAACCATTGCCAACAATTGTTTTGGCATTTGAAAATATGCGATGTTCAAGATGTTTAGAATTTCGGTTTCTTTTTTAATTTACACATGTATTGCATCTCTTTTAAGAAATATAATTACTCGTATGTTACTTAAATATTTAAAGGGACTAATGACATATTATAGCTGAAGGTGGTGAAGGGTTTACGAGTTATTAATTACGGTTTTGTGATTGTAACTCGTATGATTAAGTAATATACCTACTAGCCGTATTGACCTTTTACTGGGTAATGTGAGTAAATATGTGCAATTGAACGAGAAAAAACCTGTAAATATATCAACCACATAAACCTTTAACGATAACGACCTCTTTCAACACAAATCCCACGTTTTTTTAGTCTATGTCTTTATTTCCAAATTCAAATTGTAGACACATACATACCATAGATATAATGAAACCTCTTTGCAGTTAGCTCCTGTATTTAGGCCAAGTAGGTATATGACTAGAGAATATAAGTGAATTGCAAAACAATGACTTATTTAATTTAAAGTACACATTGTAACGATAGTTATGTGTTTTATAACGATAAAGATAACTTTTCAATTTAATAGAAATGTAAAAAACCTGTGAACGGTGTTATCAATGTGTGTGGCACGTTTTCTTACGTATTTCTTGACCTACATTATTATGTGTTAAAGAAACGTAAATTAAGTACCTACTGTTTAAAATAAATTCAATTCAATAGAGTATCAGTATGTTAATCAATTTTTTTCCGACACTGGAATTGATCAAGAAAAAGCTAAATTAAAGAAAGGAATATAACAATTTATGGATGTATATTGAAACGAGATTTTTGGGCATTAGGTACGTATCTATCTTCGAATGATGTGGAAGAAGAATGACCTGAAGAAACTATAAACCTAGGTAGGATAGTACCTTTTCGGCATCATTCAACTTAAGAATAGTAAGCTTTATTCCACTAACATGAACCTTTTTTTAAAAATTGTTAGGTCCGTGTGCATCTTAATAAAATTTTATTCTTTTATTGTCTTTGTGACGAATACAGAGGTTCAATGTTTCCTAAATAGAGGGATGTAGGTATGTGGTTGATCAAGTACGATCATTACTCATCATATAAAGTCAAATAAATCTTAATCAAAGCCCTAAAGGAAGTTCTTTGTGTGAAATAACTTTGCTATAACCTTGTTTATAGATTTAAGACGGTAAAGAACTAGGTGTAGTTACATTACATAGGTAAATAATAATATTGATATGAAAAGAGTCTTCTAAAACTTCACAATGTTGGTTGTTTAACCAAAAAATTCTGGCAGGAAAAATGTAATGAATGCTACTTATTTAACAAAATAATAAACCCATTATTATTTTTCGCAGTATAAATAAACAGGAAATTCAATACCTATTTATTGCAACCTTTTTATTTAAAGTTTTGATTAAGTAGGTATTGGCTGTTTATAATTCTGCAATAAACAATTTCTGATGACAATGAAGAAAAACATTATTTAAAAAACGAACGCGGGAATTCGGCGCCAATTTTTATTACTTATTTTCAATAGGTAGTGGTTATACTTTATAGCGGTCCTCGTTACTTTTTTAATTTTAAAGCTCTTAATTTCGTGACACATACATAGGTGCGTATTTACTAGTATTCACTTACCTAAAGATATCTAACTAATTTATATTATTTATGTAGGCATATTTAGAATTGCACATACATAACATTATATTAAAAGGATACTAAATGGTAGATTAATTGGGCGATTAATTAACTGCAGTAGGTAATTATTTTCATTTTTTTTTGTAACTTGCAAATACAACACAGTGAGTTATTGCTTAGTTATTTAGTATCAATTATTAATTTTTTTCTTAAAATATCATCATGCGTGCACGTGTACCTAGTTATGTCTGTTGGTCTGATAAAATATACACGTGTTTTAATTCGTTCGTAATAGGTTTAAATTTTATATCGATGTAATTAAATCGATTTCTCGTGTAGTTTAGATTTAATGCGGCCATTTTTATACAAATGATCTTTTAAACACCTAAGTGAAAAGTTATGTTCAGGAGAAATTTTATGTTCACGTTTTTTCGAATATGTATGCGTTATGCGTGTCATTAGGTAATTATTACTTCCTTACGTTAATATTATAAATGAGAAAGTACGTTTGTTTGTATAATATCTTTTACGTTGTTAAGGAGCGATTTTATGGTACGTTTTTTATCCTCCTGTTACACGGGACTCATAACATTACTGTATAAAGTGGGTGTTACATTGTACAGTATAATGTACACCTTTGCCTACCCCTTCGGGGATAAAAGGTGTGATGTTATGTTATGTTAAATCACTATCACTACATAGTATAAAACAAAGTCGCTATCCGCCGTCTGTCCCTATGTATGCTTAGATCTTTAAAACTACGCAACGGATTTTGATGCGGTTTTTTTTTAATAGATAATTCTTAGGTAAAGAAGGTTAATATGTATATTACATGCATATTGCACCCGTGCGAAGCCGGGGCGGGTCGCTAGTATATAATATACAACTTTGTTAATAGTACGTAGTGCACCGCTCAAGGGAACGTTTGCCCGCCACTTTTAACAGATGGGAAGTGTGCGGTGCGACACCGTTGACATGTGACTATATTATTTTATTGTGAAATCATTTATGTCTTCAACGGACAAAAGTTAATAATTTCATTCATTCTACGTTTTTATAACCAAAAGTCTATTTTACAGGGTACTGTAGCTCCTTTACTGATGATTTTGTTTTTTAAATTATTTAATTCTTTCAATAAATATAATTAAAATTTGTTTGTTCAATAATAGAGGTACTAATTTTTTGTCTTAATTTCTTTGCAGTCGCTGAAAACTCTGGTCAGTTTGGTGGTGGTGCTACTGAGCAGCCACACGGAGTCATCCCCGTACTTAACAGGAGGTCTGAAGACGTTCGCACTCGAGGAGGTGGTGCCATTGACGATCAACTTCTTTCCAGAACAACTGTCCGTACAATGGATATCAGGTATGTTCATTTAATTGTTAATTCACGACTTTATTACTATGGTCATAAAGGATAACCTTTTTATACGACTTTTAAAATGTTTTGCATTTCAAACCAAAAATGAAAATAATTAAATATTCTCAATGTTACCTACAAAGTCTACATATACGTACATATCATCACGCCTTTTGTCCCCGAAAGAGTAGGCACAGGTGCACTTTACGGCATTTAAATGCCATTGTACAATGTAATATAACACCCACTTCTCACTATTTATGTTATGAATCCCATGTAATAGGCGTGAGCCTTTTGCCATACATTGGGCACAATTCCAGACTCCGTGCTTCTAAGATTTTCTTCTTCTGAGATTTTTTGTAATACTTTGCCCTACTCGGGAATCGGACCCGAGACTTGCCTGGCAGTCTCACTAGCGACCAGTCGGCCAACGAGGCAGTCTACATATTAATATGCCTCCTATTACATATTCTAATAGAATTAGCTAGTCAAAAATGCAACGCAATGAAAGCTACGCAAAAGAAAGCCTAACTGTTTCTATCCGTGAATTTTTTTAACTTGTCGCAGGCTGTCTGATTTTTAAGCTATTGTCGATATCTAAATACTGCAACATCGTGTGAACAGTTCCATTACATAGTGATAAGTTTGGAATGAGCATCATTGCAGAAACTACATATATTCTCACCCTACTTTACTTTCGTAATCAAAACAATATGTTATATTTGATTGCCTGAGTAGTGAGTACAATATTAATATTATTTTCTTATCAAAATGGTTAATGAGGTTACGACATCTTGGCTATTGTTATTAAGTTTTTTTTATGTCAACAGTACGTACATGGGACTCATAAACATGAATAGTGAAAAGTGGGTGTTACATTGTACAGTGGCATTAAGTGCCGTATTGTGCACCTCTGCCTACCCCTTTTGGGGATTAAAAACTTGACGTTATAATGAACTTCAGTTCTTTTTATTCTTTGAAACAGTTACGTACAAAGGTCGAGATACTTGTTCCAAACTTTGTAGTCATGACTTTGAATACAGAAAATTTGAAAAACCTAATTGTTTTTTGCGCGCGGGATTATTAGGTATGGTCAAAGGTCAAAAGTCCACTGCCACCGTGAGTGATGTTCACACGGCAATGCGTAAGTAATTTCATATTAATGTCATAAAAACGCGTGCGTACGCATAAATACACGCACGCGTATGCATATGGATAAAAATATGCGTGTGCATGTGTGTATAAGCGCAAGCAATCGATAGTAGTCTTATGGTGGCAGTGGACTTTTGACCTTTGACCGTACATCCAACTCGTTTTGCTCGGTTGATATGCTGGCAGTCATGAGCGATGCCGCAGAGAACTTAACGGTTTACCGGAGCTCCGGCTCTGGAAGTGCAGGAGTAGGAACGGGGTGGTTTTTAGTCAGTAAGATACTCTGACACTTCCTCCCGCCTCACCTAGGCGGGAGCAGTCATTCGATAATTTTCCTACCTTAAAAAAAGTCATGAGCGATCTAGAAACTGATATAACATTTATAGATTGCAACTAAACAATCTCATACCTATTAGATATACATTCTTATATGACTACCTAATTAAGGACTGGTCCCACTTTATAAGTGACTTAATTGAAGTCAATTATGTAGTTCACAATTCATGGAACTTGTATGATAATGCTACATGGTACTAAAGTTTTATGTTTTTGCTACTTGTACCATTAGATACCATACTCTTAAAATGACGTTATGTTACAGACACAGAATACTTGTACAAGGAGCCGAGTATAGGAGTGTGGAAGGTGGACGTGACTCAGGAGACATATTCTCCATTGCTAGACGAAACTGACATGGTAAGGACCTATTTATATTATTTAAACTTATGACATAGAATCATTATGACATAGACTCGATCGGAGTGATACCACGGCCTCAAACAAAACCGACGTGAAACAACGCCTGCGTTGTGATTCGTCTTGTAGTGAGGCTGCCGGAGTCTCAATTACCCCCGGGTTAATTAATTCGGGGATTGAGGAGATTGGGGAGGGGGCTCCCCAAACTCCTCAATCCTCGAATCCTCATCAATCCATCATCAGCTGATCCATCGTCTCATTTACCGGCTTTTCTTATAAAAAAGGATGTAATACCTTAGGCATTGTCTCAGTCACCATTAAGGCACAAATGGGACTGGCAGATTTAATGGAACTTGCATTCTATTTCCAAAACTGTTGCACAGATTCTTGTTTTCATTTTTGACCACTGGACATAGGCTTCTTTAATAATAGTCACTAATTTAGTCATTAAATTACTGTTCTTAATCACAAGTATTGAGGAATATTAAGTTGAGTTGAGTTGAGTTCATGAGGAAATAGGAGTCTTTAAGGTTTGAGTACGTTTTCTTTTATCTCGATTTCAGTTTATGAATCGTGTATTAAATAGAAATGCCTTCATTTTTCACTTTATTGCAATTTAAAAAGTGGTTTAGCTTCTTAAAATGTTTCTCTGAAATCTGTCAATTGTTTAAATTGTTTTGCATTTCGTTGTATAAAAGAAAAACAGTTTCCAATACTTATTATACACCTGTCTATGTCTGTTCTTTGTGGTGGTGGTTTTTGATATATTCAATCGTTTAAATTTAAAATTACACTTTATTATTTTCAGGTTAAGATACAAAACTTCTCGATGTCTTCGTTTTCACAAGACTTGAAATATGTGTTGCTGACTACGAATAAACAAAAGGTGAGTTTTACCACTTCTTTGGAGTACATATATGTAATAGTAGCCTTTGTTGACTGTATTTCTATACTTGATTCCATTCAGATTAGAAAAGTGGTTAATTGATTAAGTGGTTATAATAATTGTAATTCACTCACAACCATAGGCACTGATGAAAACTTGGTTTAGGCCTGTGCCCTCACATATTTTTTTGTTTTTGTTTAAAAAAAACTTTGCCCCACATTAAACTTTCCCCTGTGTCGCGGATGCGTTTACAAACATACAAGTTCACATACACATGACATCCACCCGGAACAACAATTTGTGGATCACAAAGACAGTTGCTCCATGCGGGAATCCAATTCTCGACACGTTGCATGGCAGCCGGTTGTCCAGCCACCGCACTAACGGTGTTGTCGTATTCTCGGTATAGCGGAGATAACGAGAATATATAGGTATAAATAATATTAATAATAATAGAGATTTCTGAACTACCAAACATGGAATATATATTCTCACATCTTCACCTTTATCTTAATTGGGTAAGCAAAACCATAGAACCGCACCTACTACGATGCTTACTTGATTTTTCCTTCCCTTCACGTTCTTTATACTTATTCATAGACACGCGTCGATTATGAGTATCGAAATTCATAAAGCTGGCTTAATGATATTGTTGTAAGTTTACCTTAACATTTGGGAAATTGGACAAACATAGAAGTAGGTATGGTTAGCAACACCAGTCTCAGTTTGAGGAAATTATTCATTGAATTTTTTGCGGTTCATTAATAGTTTCCTGTTTTTAAAGCGTTCGTCGCAATTTGTTTATTACCGACTTATCGTAATATTATGCAACACGTATATAGGCCAATAGGTACCTAAGTTAATCGACTAATCGATATGGGTTATCTATCAATTTCACGTTAAGAGATTTACATTGATTTTAGTTTATAAATTAACTTTTCGTTTCATTACAAGTAGCGTAAAACCTACGATTAGGTTTGTGATTTTCTGATATATTGGTCGTAAATTATTATAAACGTCATACACGATTTTTTAACGCATTCATAAAGTTACACACGTGGGGTTACGTAGTGTCATAATTATGTAATGTTTGTTTGTGATAAGTAGAAATTACATTATATTTTTGAGTAAGGTATAAAATATGGAGTTTTTAGTTCTCGAGAAGTTAGCACTTCAATAGGTCTCTAATTTTACCTGGTAGGCACTGTATAATGTTTTTAAGAGACGTATCTAGACGGACATAAATAGATAATACAAACCAAACATTGTAGTATTTTTTGGAACTAAATATTATGTTTTTCGGCTTACTTACTTAATATTCGACGAGGAATTCATATTGTACAGTTTAAGCCTCTAGCATGGCTTGAAACTAGTTGAGTTTTTCGACGAATAATTATGTGAGTAAGCCGAAAAACATAATAATTAATTTAGTATATCCCCGAAGGCTATAATATTATAGGAACTTCTTACATACGAAATAAAAGAAGTATCTCAAAATAATTTTCAGTTTCACATGAATTTCGTCTTGAGATCAGTCTGTCCATTTCGCATGAGTTCCGCTTAACGCTCACTTTCATGCTATGAGGAAAATTTAATGCCGGTTGTCCGAGCAGTGCCTTTAGCCAAACGCCACTTTAGCGCTTGTCTACAGAGAGAGAGTAGAAAACTAAATGTATGGGGATGACACTGGCAAGTGTCAAAATTAACGTAAATTCCATATAATTTGGTTTTCTATTCTGTATATAGACAAGCGCTAAATGGCATTTGGCTACAGCTGCAGTTTATACCGGATTCTACCGATTGTGTTAATCATCATAGGTAAAATATAGTAATCTTATTATTTTCCTGATGCGGTAGCTAAATATTAACCTAAGTAAATAATTATGAATTAATTTAATTACAAGTAGTTAAGGTTCCAATTTGACCTTCAATCTTCTTTGATTCTCAAAGGAGCATTTCGATCGAAAATCAAGATTATCTATAGTCAAGTATACCCGATTGTCCTTGAGCTTAGTGAAACAAGTGAATATTAATAACAGAGTGTCTATTTGTAATAGGTATTGGAATAACTGCTTTTTACTACATGTATATGAATATACGTTATAAGTATGGAACATATACCAAAATAGCACTTTTTTACAATGTTTGTCTGTTTATTCTGGCTAATCTCTGAAATGACTGGACGAATTTTTACGGGGCTTTATTGGCAGGTAGTTGATTTACTAAGGAGTAGCTTAGGCTACTTTTTCGACGCGGATGAAGTCGCGTGTACAGCTATAGTTTGGAATATAGCTGATGTTCACACTGTGTTACGTTGTCGCTACTAAACGTATGAAAGTGAGTTTTGAGATTTATAGCCAGTCGGCATGTGATAAAGAAACTGCTATAGATAAACGAGTGAAGTGTTTATGTGTGATACCCTCATTAGATGTTTCAGCTTCACCGCCCAAGTATGCAAATAGAGAAATTGTTCTCTCGACATGAACAGTAGTTTTCTGTCTGTTTCGCGTGTTTAGGATTCCGATGAAAAGCCGTAGTTAATTAACTTGTGTTACAGGTTTTAGTGATTTGTGTCGTAGTGGTTTACCTACTCTATATAAGATGTTTAATTCATAATGTTTCGGACATGTACTTACTTTTAATTTAATCGTGTTGTTTAAAGACTGTAGGTTTAAATTTCACAAATAAATTTTTATAAATCTTAATGTAGGTATAATTATTTCAGCATTGAAAGTCTTCTACTTTAGTTATCAGAATTTCTAGATAATACCTTGGTATTGAAAATTATACTTATTTATTTTAATAAATAAAGTAACGAAAAAGAAAACTGTTTACTATGATCTATTTGTAAACTGCATACATATATTTAGTTTTTTTTAAGTGGGAAAATCATCAAATGACTGCTCCCACCTGGATGAGGCGGAAGGGAGTGTCAGACTCTTACTGACTAAAAACCACCCCGTTCCTTCTCCTGCACGTCGAGCCCCGCTTACCCGTTAGGTTCTCCGCGACTCCGAATCGACATTATTTATACATAGACTGTATTTAACATATATATAGTTAATGTATTAAATACAGTCACTAATATACATTATACTCACGAAAATCTATAAGCTAGAAGGCCCAATCTCCCTCTTCCCCAATCTCCTGTATTTTCAACAATCCTCAAATTCCTAATCCCTAAACGGCCGGTAACACACTTGTAACGCATCTGGTGTTCCGACTGTCCATAGGCAACGCCGATTACTTACTATCAAGTGATCGAGCTGCCGAATTTTTGAGAAACTGAAATTTCACATCTTATGCACATTGTTTCCAACTCTACAGTTTATCACGTTAAACGCCATGGGGGTCAACGGTGACCGACTCGGTGAACCTTAATTGGCCGTTTGTTTTAGTAAATAGGTATTCAGTACCTAAACCGCAGTAGGTATCTATTAATTAAAATTGTCGGATTCTTATCGTAACTTTTAAGCAAAATAACCCAGTATTTGTTATAAATAAGGTAAACTTGTACAGGTAAAACTAAATTGAAATATTAATTTGATAAGACTGCAAAAATGTTTTTTTATACCTCTACATATTTATGTTTCCTGTTTGTTTAATAAAATAAATAAAGAATAGGATAAATCTCTATGAATAAAAACGAATTTCCGTTCGTTAGTCTTGCTACTAAAACTCGAGAACGGATGAACCGATTTGGCTAATTTTGACCTTGAGAGGTTTGTGGAGGTCCAGGGAAGGTTTAAAAGATGAGAAAAAGCTTTAGGCGGTACGAAGTTTGCCGGGTCAGCTATATAGTAAACAATAATAAATCTATATTCATAATAACACTGCATACATAGGTCAAAAATATCTCAATTAAGTGACAAGATCGTACTACTACTATTACAATCTCCCCAATCCCTGAATCCCCAACGATCCTCAAACTCCTAATCACCAAAAGGTCCAACGCACTTGTAATGCCTCTGGTGTTCCAGGTGTCCATGGGCGACGCCGATTGCTTACCATCAGGTGATCCGTCGGTTAGTTTACCGATTTATGTCATAAAAAAAATTATGTAGTTTTTTACTTAATTAATTATAGGTATTGTGTATATTTAATTAACATGTTTAAATGTACCGAGAAATGATGGAAATATAAAGCAAAACAACCTATAAAACATCAAATTCTAATAATAAAGGAAACAATATTCTTCCCATACATTTAAAAAAAATAACACTGTGTTTGGAATGACACGAACTTTACTGGAACATAATCACTACATATTATAATACAAGTCAGTTTCTGCTGTCTGTCCGTATGCACTTGTCCTTTATGATCTGATCATTAAAAGTTCGCCATCGGATTTTGATATAGTTCTTTTAATAAATAGTGTGTTATTTCCAGACGAAGATTTAAATAGGCGTGTAGAATTAAGGCGTGCGAAATCGCTGGTAAAAGCTTATTAGTAAATAAATTAACAATAATATCACCAAATTGGGTACGTTCCGTAATTAAAGATAAATTATTTCGACTGTAAATACAGTAGAATATTAAAATATCCACTTTCATTAATTGATTTTATGGCCAACTTAATTATAGTATTTTTCCAGCATATTTTTAAGAAATGAGTAACGTCACAATACACAATCTCGAACAATATTCATAGAAAACTGTCGTTTTTGAGAGTTTGAAAAAAGTATTGCAATTGACTAGTTGGCAAGTACCCAATTGAAGCACACACACAATAACAAAACAGAATAAAGTAGTACCAGCACGAGTAAAGGTGTTGGAAAGACCGTTCACCGGGCACTGACCAGCCTCCCTTCTCTACTTGCGACACACGTTATCTAATAGTGCAGGTCAAGGCGTGTCTAATTCTTACACTCAGTATTACGAAGTATGCACACGTTTCTTATTAAATTTGTTATTTATCACGACCTCCAAGTGCATCTTTTGTGTACTTTGAAAGTATATTGTTTGTTTTGTTTAATCTGCGTCTGAATGTCGTAATATTTTTGGTACAGGTACCTTAATATGTATATTACATAGGTGTTGATTTTTTACTGATATTTAATTTTCTAGTTCGATTACAAACTTAAGTATTAGTCAGTAATCAGATCATTATTGATACATATAAATAGCCGATACAATTTCGAATGATAATAATAGAAGTTCTTTCACAATAGTGTACCAATAGAAAGTAGCTGAAAATACAAATCTTTGTCTAGTTTAACTATGTAGTTTAGTACTTTAATGATACATACATATTAATGCATACTTATACAAAAGGAAAAATCAACACGTTAAAACTACATGTCTTGTAATACCATGCTAAGTTATTTCGATTGTAATTTGCGAAACCTATAAAAAGTAGTTTAATTATTTAAACTCCTATTAAATGCCAAGCCCAACATGTACATAGGTACCTACTTATTAGTTCGCAAAAAATTATACTGCGGAAACAATTTCCTTATAGGTAATTATGAGAACTTAACTATTAAATATTAATCCAGTTTATAATACAAATGCGTAATAGACTACTCTTATAATACGATTAACTAAAAATAACCATATTTATCATAAGATTTCCATTAAAATATGTATCAGAATCAAATGATTCTGATATTTTAATGGAAATCCATACCATTTGGTAATAATATAGTTGTTTACACGAGTAGTCTATTACGCATTTGTATTATAAACTGGATTAATTAATAAAATTAATATGTATCAGAATCAAATGATTCTGATACATATTTTAATGGAAATCTTATGATAAATATGGTTATTTTTAGTTAATCAATGATTTGTCCCTTTACGATTTCTAATGAGGTCGTTTATTTAATAGGTGCCGATTTATTTGTTACATTTACAGCTCTATTCTCCTGTTGCACGCAACAGGAGAATAGAGTTTAATGTAACGCAAAAAAATATTGCGTTACATTAAAATTAGAATTACTTTTTTTTGGATAACTGAACTGAACTGGTCGTCCAGTAGCTGTTCTAACAAACAAGCAATGGTTGAACGATTGAAAATATTAAATAACTGACTACTCAATTTTAAGTTCTATTTAAATATCGTGTCATCTCTATCATATCTATTTAAGCAATAATTAAAATTGATTAGCGTTTGAATAAAATTTAGACATAAATTACTTGCATTACGCGCTTAAGTAATCATAAAAAAGGTTACCATCACTGCCTAATGGTTTGATTTAATGGTGGCTGTACATAATATATACCACATGTTTCGAAAGTGACAAAATGCTTTTTTAATTTGTAAAGTAATAAAGTACTACACATTTTAACCACTCACAAACGTATAATAAGAAAAATGTTACATTGATATTTAAATAATAGATTAAATTCGATTAAATATTATGTAAATATTTGATCGGTGCAAACACACGATACAGGTAGGTACGCATTGCAGGAGCAATTTACCTGTTATTATAAATGCAAAGATGTATATTGCGATGTTTGTAACTCATCAATCAAAATTGTTGTAATGATTTCGATGGAGTTTCTCAGAGATAGATAGAATGTATTCCCCACATATTTGAATGTAGCCTTTTTTAATCCCTGACGGGGTTGGCAGGCGTACACTTATGTTGTGGGCCCCATGTAGTAAAGGGGAATATTGCAAATGTTTGTTACTCTTTGACACTGCAACTTACCCAATGAACACCAGGACCTACGAATACTAAAAGTAAAACAAGAAATTGAACGACATACCAGGTCATATAAGGATCGCATATCTCGTTACCCAAACACTCTGGCACAGTCACTAATGAACGAACACAATGCAGTGCGTAGGCTAAAGCGTAGAATACCACAAGATATGATCCAACTATAGAAAAAAAAAATTGTATTTATGAAGAGGATGTGACACAGGTCACATGCCGAAAATGCTAACAACAGTAACGTCCAACATACTACTGAATGTCCCAAAGAAGGCGACAGATTGTAGTATAAAAGATATAAAAAAAAATCCCTGAACGGGTAGGCAGGCGTACACTTATGTTATGGGTCCCATGTAGTACCTTAAGGGGAATATTGCAAATATTTGTTGCTCTTTGACTTATACAATTGTATCGTGTCTGTCTGATTAGGATCTGTTTTAACCCATACGGAATTTTGATACTGACAATACAGGAACATAAACTAGTCTAGTAATACATAGGTGAATGCTGAATGACTATTATATGTACGTGACTTTACAACCTAACTTTCTATTTCAGAAATACAGACACTCGAGCACCGCCGAGTTCTGGGTGTACGATCTCGAGACCAAGTAAGTGATCAAAGTAAATAACTTGACAACTTATGTACTAAGTAGGACACACGTGCTGCCTTTATAAAGCCTGATTATTTTGTTATGATTTATTCAAGTATCATATTATTATAGGTATAAGTAGACTTACCATAAGGTAAAACTTTGAAATATGCGTACTGACTTTTGCATTTAATCAGTGTGCTTACTCTCGAAACCAATCTCAATATCAATGCAATTTCAATCCAATTAAATCTCAATAATTACAGTATAGTATATGGCAACAGGCTCACTTCTATTATTATATTATTATATGAGTGTGTATAACATTACAAAAGGGGGTGTTACATTGTACAGTGGAATTAAGTGCCGTGTGTGCACCTCTGCCTACCCCTTTGCGGATAAAAGGCGCGATTTTACGATTAATCCAAACTAAAATGACTGTAGAATACGTTGCTCAACCCTGGAATTAATCATATCAGCCACGAAACGTGTCCATGTGCTGAAATATCCCGACTTCCCGAAATGAATGAAAGTAATGTCAATAAAATAAAATCATTGATGTTTAAAACAATATAGTTATTGTTTTGCGTGTAACAATAACATTTTCATTTGAATGTAAATATAACTCATTGAATTTAATGATTGAGTTGTATTATTTTGTTTTACAAATTAACTGTAATCCGAATTAACTCGAATATAATACACCACATCCGCTTATTATTATAATTGCTTATCCATATTTTGTTATTAGACGTATCTATGTATTATTTAATTATGAATATTTATATTAAAACTTTTCCTTTTTGAAATAAACATTTTATTATTAAAAAAAAAAAAAAAAAAAAGAATATCCCGGTGGATTTTCAATAGGCCCCCGCCATTATCACTCAGTTAATATTAGGTATGTATGAGGAACTAGCTCATGAGTAAATGAAAAGTATATTTTTCTTATTCAGTTTCTATACCAACAAACGAAATAAACAAGCAAGAACAAACCGTCTTTCGATGGAAAAATATATTTAGAATTAACGCTGTATATATATTATAGGGCTTTGGTTGTGGTCGTCGTCACTGGTTACCTATTATTTAGCTTTTTAATTTTAGAATTCTCAGTATATTTCAATTTAGAGTTGATCTTCCTTGTAGATAATTAGAATTTTAGCTGTTGTTATTTTCCTTTGCAAAATGTATAATTAGGTATTGTGAAATTATGTAGAATATAGTTTCAGGGTTGATAAAATCAAAATATCCTGTTATGCAGGTATTATACTTATATAATTATATTTTATCAGTACCAGGAAAAAGAACAACGGTATAGTTATGAACTTACATAATTATAATTATCAGGAACCCTGTTATGTAAGCGCATATTTATGCATAATTAAATTACTCCTAGACATGACGTTATGTACAAAACACATAATTATAAATAATGATTAAGGGTATAGAGATTGTTTAAATAAGGATATAAGTTTTAAAATTATTTTATATATATTTCAGTCTAGACGTTTTTATTTTCTGTCTCGCCAGTGCAATGTAATGGGCAGTTTAGATCTACCATGTAAAACGTATTGCTTTGTTAGTTTCATTCAATGTTTCAGCTAAAACGTGTTTCTGCAAATATTTAAGTTTTTATGGGTTTTGGGTGCACTCGAAAATATTTACAAGCTTACAACTATGTTTAATTTGTTTGTTGATTTTAAATTGACGGAAATCTATAGAGAAGGTTTTTAATTGGGTAGAAGTTAATATTTTTAGTTCAGGTTTTCATAATATTATACGTCGTTATTATTTTCAGCCATGATCGTCCTTTACTACCCTCAAGGCCTCAGGGCAAAGGCTCATTACGTTCCTTCCAGTATTCTCTTTGTAGAGCTTTCTTGGGCCAATCCTTGTCATAGATGTCAAGTTCATCCTGTCAACTCCTTATACGTCTTACTATATTTTCTTTTCTTTGCAGGTCCATCATAAGACTAGGCAAAAGTCCTCTAGATGTCGTGGTATGGGGCAGCGGAAGGTCCCTGGCGTATGTGAGTGACAACAACGTGTACTATGTGAGGGACGTTGACACGGACAGTGCTGTGCCTCTCACCAGCGATGGGATACCTGGGGAGATATACCATGGTGTCACCGACTGGCTTTATGAAGGTGAGACTGTAGTGTTACTGTTTCATCATCAACAGCCTATAAATGCCCACTGCTGAGCAAAGCCTCTTCTCACACGGAGAAGGTTAGAGCATTAATCACCACGCTTGCTCAATGCGGGTTGGCGATTTCAAACTTATAATTAGAAATTATAAGTCCAGGTTTCCTCACGATGTTTTTCCTTCACCGCTTGTCAGTGGTGTCTAAATAATCTTAGAAAGTACATATAACTCGGAAAAAGTCACATTGGTACTTGCCGTTGGTAGGTTTCGAACCCGCACCCTCATGCATGAGAAGTGGGCGTCTTAAACCTCCGGGCCACCACGACGTTTTTGTTTGGACACATGTTACTGTTTGGACACATTATATTTACTACTTTCGTGAGAGAAAAGGTCTTAGTTAGTGCCAGACCATAATTTATACTTGTTTTAAATTTCACTGACTGCCTCGTTGGCCGAGTGGTCGCAAGTGTGACTGCCGGGCAAGGGGTCTCGGGTTCGATTCCCGGGTCGGGCAAAGTATTACTGGGTTTTTTAAAAATTCTCATTAGTAGCACGGAGTCTGGAATTGTGCCCGGTATATGGCAATAGGCTCACCCCCTATTACATGGGACTCATAACATAAATAGTGAAAAGTGGGTGTTACATTGTACAGTGGCATAATGTGCACCTCTGCCTACCTCTTCGGGGATAAAAGGCGTGATGATGTTATGTTTTTAAATTTCATCGAGATCCTTTCAGCCGTTTTGACGTGATTGACTAAAAAATAGATACACAAACTCACTTACAAATTTCTGCATTTATAACATTAGCAACTATAAGATACGTTTTACTTGGTGCAGATTAACCTGTTTTACATTTTGTACATAGGTATTTTAATAGGTTTTATAGTCAATTGATTCATCGTTTATTATTTCGGACAATTGATTACTAATGCTCAGTAAGATTTAACATCAAATTTTCTTTTATCACTACGATTTTGACCAGCTCTGTTAGTCAGGCTTTACTCCGAAAATGCCTTAATTTACGTGTGGCTAGAATGACCTAAATACATCAGGATGCAGGTTTTCAGACTGGACGTAAATACCAAATATGAATATAGTGCAAGATTAATCTTTGTATAACGATAAAATACTAACCAGTTATTTTTTCATTGCTATTTTAGAGGAGATGTTCAACTCAGCCGAAGCAATGTGGTTCTCTCCTGCTGGTAGCTATTTAGCTGTTGCTTCGTTCAATGACACCAATGTAGCTACAGCGATGTATCCATACTATGGACAACCTTCTGACCTCAATAACCAGTATCCTGAAATGGTAGAATTTAAGTATCCAAAGGTAAGCTATAAGTATGTATTCACAAAGCAATTTTTCTTTGCCATTTTTGTATGTAGTTCTAACAGAAATATTTCACTTTTAGTCAGGTCTCACAAACCCCGTCGTGGGATTACGGGTCTTCAAATTGGATGATCCTCGGGGAGAACCGTGGAATATTCCAGCTCCTGTCGACATCGTTGGCCTAGACCATTATCTAGGCAGAGTCAACTGGGCTTCCGAACAAAATCTCATAGTATTATGGCTGAACAGACGACAAAACGTCAGTGTACTAGTCAATTGTGATTTAGAAAAAGATAAGTGCAGTATTGTGAAAGAACACTCTGAATCAAACGGTTGGATTGACGTGAGGACGCCGTTCTTCGATAGATCGGGAAACAAGATGTTGGAGATACAAAACTTGTATAATGGAGACCAGCGGTTCCCTCATGCGGGTCGGTTTAACTTCTTATCTTTGACTACCGAAGACTTGAGTCCTGGAAACTCATCGGTAATGGAGATTTTGGGGTGGAATCAGGATACGGATACTGTGTACTACGTGGTGTCTCCTGGCACTGTGCCGTGGTTGCGTCAGATGTGGGCGACGTCTGCCGGCGTGGTGCGTTGCGTGTCGTGCCGGGAGCCCGCGTGTCACCACGTGACCGCCTCCTTCTCTCCCGGCGCTAGTTATGCTATCGTCACCTGCAGCTCATCTCTCAATCCGCCTAAAATCTTCCTTTATAATAGTGCGGTAAGTTGTTTCCAGCTAATAATCTGTATCTAATTATGATGTAAAAAATCAGTTGAGGTATTTACTTATATAAATATTCAAATCTTGGGTATAGTTGCTCTTAGTATTCTCTTGAGCAGCATGCAAGAATACAGCTACATAGTTAATTACATTGTCGTAACAAAGGAATCCCAGTGACCTACAAAAACAAGAACAAATGGAAAACAAGAATAACATTAAAATTTTTAATATTATGAAATTCTTAATTAACATTTTTAATATTACAGACGGACAGTTTCAAACTGATCAAAGATAATTCGAGATTGAAGGAAAAGTTGCGGCATTATAAGATGCCGATGATATTATTCAACATGGTCTCATTAGGAGAGAATCCACTGGGTCACATCAAACTCTTGTTGCCACCTGAGATGAAATCTGGGGAGAAGTACCCCTTGATAGTGAGGGTTTATGCAGGACCAGGGACCAGCAGAGTAAAAGATAATTTTGATTTAGGTAAGAACAGGATTTTATAGATGTTAATTTTTTCAAATGCATTGGCTCTTCAGGTGTTCACTCGCTGACGAGATTATAGCCTACCTATTACACATTCATTTACCCTAAACACTAAATTAAATGGCTACAATAATAATATAATATTGCATTCACTTATTGTTGACAAGGGACTGGTTTAGTTGTCTACAAAACCAATGCCTATATTCACTAACCTCTCCTAAATATTAAAGAACTCCTGCCTAAGCTAAGATAGGTGACATTTAACGGCATTATGGTTTTCACCAACCTATAAGTGACACCTAATAGTTCAAGTTAGTTTTAGTGCTACGTCAAGCTAAGTAAATTTTAGTCCTCTACTAAAATACTAAAAGAAAAAATGTGATTGGCAAAAATGACCAGATTATTAATATGTATCGATATTTCCAGCAGTTCATGAAAGTAAGTGAATCAAGTTATCAAATGTATTTAGAACACCCTAGATTTTTTATTATTTGATAAGGGCGTAGACAGACAGTATTATGTGAGAAGTATTGATATAAATGAAGGCATGCAGTGCGGTTGATGACGCCGCAACTTTGGACCGTCTATCCAAAGTTTCAGTTTCAAACAAAACCTCATCAGTCTTCATGTTTGTTTGTGCAACGAGAATATTATGTTGTATTGTACAGATACATCATAGTCCCCTGTTGTTTTTATCTTATCCTTGAATATTGCTTATTTAACTCAGATTTTAAGACTTAACTGAAATTAATCAGTTTTAATTTAATTACAGTTTTTTAATTTGAATAATGTTTTGTACCTCTATAATAATCAAAAATGTTGGTTCAGGTGATTGAATATAAGTATAGTATAAATATATAGACTTTATATACTTAGTTGTTATAGTTATTGTTACTAAACAACACGCAATGTAATACTTTTATATAGTCCAATTTTACCCAGGATGTATGTATACTGAATCTCCCTATCCACAAGCGGTCACCGGTGACCGCTCTCCACTGACTTAATTATAAACCTTATTTCCGATGTTAAAGACTACTTTTGATTGAAAAAAATTTTCGTATGATATATCGAGTGATTAAAATGTATTTTGTCAATGATTTCAGAATACTACAATACGTACTTATCAACGAATAGGAGCTTTATAGTGGCGTCTATAGACGTCCGAGGTTCGGGAGCTATGGGCGTGGAAGCCATGCATGCTGTTAACAACGCGCTCGGAACTGTTGAAGTCACTGACACTTTGGCTACCATCAGGTAACGTACTAAAATAATAAAATCCTCATATTTCTATATATCCATCATAACTCCTCCGGTGTTGTAGGTGTCTACGGGCGGTTTCGGTTGTTTAATTACCATCAGGTGATACGTCTGCTCATTTACCGGACTATAAACTGACTGACTAAAAATATTTTCTCCTCAATTATACAGAAAACCTCAATCAATATTTCGTCAATTCAATCGTGTGGTGACGCTAAAGCAGAATATATTTATCACCACCTTAATCTTCCCTCCTAAAGCTGACTAAATTTTATACATTAACAAAGATCAGGAAGCGGGTTACTAATCCACCAAACGTGTACTATGAACCTTTTAAAATGTTATCTCCAACACGCCTGCCAACCGTGGAGATTATGGTAAACCATTTTAGAACTCTTTAGTTATCATAACGGCTACTTATGTCTTACAGTTCTACGCGAATAAAATGATAGCTACAAAACACAATACCCACAAAATACAGAATTGAAACATTCATATTTCGCTCCGAATACTGAATACCTAAACAGTTTATCAGATCACTTAAAAAGGCTACGTTCGCTCTGACCGTGGTGTTAAATGAATTTGCGTAACTGGCTCGCATCGCATATGAAACACAGTGTGACAGCATCGTTTAACTCAATCCCTCCGACTGTTTGTGCTGTAAATTCCAATTCCATTTGATTCTCTTCGCTTTTTTGATGAACTTCTGAACAAAGGGTTATGTTAGATTGTGTTTGTTATTGAGGTGCTAATAAAGTTATGAGTTTTACGGAATTAAATCTCGTTTCGAATGCTCAGTTTGAAGTCTTAATTGGAGGTCGTTCAAGATTTTTTGAGGTCAAATGTGTTCAGTACTTTTCGTTCCTAAAATAACACGTCTGAAAATTGTTAATCCCTTGTAGGTTCATAGATAAACCAAGTCATGTTATTATATGTTTGTCTCAAGCTATGGAGCTTGAGAGCAAGCATGGGCTTAGCTAATTGGAGCATTTGAATCCGTAATTTAAAATAATCAGTTTATAAGAGAGCGATGCCCTGTTTTGGCTGTATTTGTTTAATATGTAAGTAGTCATTACGACACTCACGTGGAATTTCGGAGTGGTAACGTAATAAAATCAATTCTTAACTATTATAATACGGGTATCTTAGGTGAAAACCTCAATCATTTCTGGGGAACTACATTAGAGTTACGGACTTTTCGTCAGAGCTTTGGGGAACTTTGGGAGCAAGAGGACTTTGGGGATGAGACTTGTGATGATCTAAACTATCGATAAGAATTTTCTGACTATTCTACATGTGTTGAATATAACTGCCTTCTGTAGGAGTGAGTGTGAGGGGATGTAAATCACATAAGACTTGTGTATAATGTATGGGATGACGCCTGTGCTAGATATAAAATGTGTGAACTTGTCATTGAATTTTGAACTCACTGGTCATTTTTTTTCATGAAACTGTTTGGCGAGGAACTGGACTAGTTTCAAACCATTCTGGAGGCGACCTGCCACGTAACATAAGTAAGCCGAAAACATAATAATTAATCAATGATCATTATTAATTTCCAGAAGCCTATTAAACGTGTACTCGTTCATTGACCCTGAGCGCGTCGGTGTGTGGGGCTGGAGTTACGGCGGGTTCGTGTCCACCATGATGCTCATACACGACGACCACCACACGCTCAAGTGCGGCGCTGCCGTGGCACCCGTCACTTCCTGGCTTTTCTATGGTGAGGCATTATTTATTTATTACTAGCTTTTACCCGCGGCTTCGCTCGCGTCACAAAAGGATAAAAAGTAGCCTATGTGACAATCCATTTGTTCAACTACCTCCAGTTAAAAAATCACGTTAATTAGTACCTCCGTTCTGCCGTTTAAGACAGGCAAACAAACAAATAGCTTTCCGCTCGCGTGGAATTCGGTTATATCGCGCTATTTAGATTTTACCAATAATTATGTAATTCGTTGACTGGTTTTAAATGACATACAGCGCCGTCTATTCCAGTACACATAGCGCCATCTATACCAATAATTTTGTTTTTCCTCGGAAATATCAAATTTTTCCGGGATAAAAAGTACCCTATTATTTAATCCAGGCTTTTAACTTTACGTCTGCAAAATTTCAAAGTAATCGGTTTAGTAGTTACGGCGTGAAAGCGGAACAAACAAACAAACTCACTTTCCGATTTATAATATAAGTAAGGAAAGTAAGGATTAGTAGAATCTTCATTAAACCTGAGAATTTGATGTAAATAATTTTTTGATAATTGAAATCTTTTTGATCAACCATCCTTCAATTTTTTCCTTAATATTAAGGTCATCAATGAGTTTAAATCACATTAGTTTAAATGTTAATATTTTAAATGGATCTCACACTCAACAAGCACGGCTCCGGAAAGGCTTTGTCACGGCAATTTTGCTTTGAAAACAATACAAAAAGGTTGTAAGCACGCTGTCGGCACGCGGACGGCGCGCTGACCGTTTTTTCATATTGACGTTATGAAATATGTCATCTATACATAAAATCGTATAATAGAAAAGTGCATTGAATATTTTTAAAAGAATACTTGGGACGTGATCTGGGGTGTGATACAGTCGATACTGAAGCCAAAAATACGGTTTTTAAAATTTTTGCCTACTACTACATTTTATCACGCTATCACCTACGGGGCATACAGTAAGTCACTATTCCACGCGAACGAAGTCGCAGGCACAGCTAGTACCTATGACATAAGATGTAATGTTCTTTCAATGACGAGTTGATTGCGGAGTTGGTGCCGTCTCAGTTAAGTCTGCTGTGACCTTCAAGCTGACACTACATTCATAGTTACATAAGTTATTTGAACTTTCATACTCCTACTGTCGAAGTTGTTAAGACAAACAGAAACGATAGCATTATTTTTATTGTTTGAGGTCCCTAAACTTATAAATAACTATCTTTACTTCCAGACACAATGTACACAGAGCGCTACATGGACACACCGCAAGCGAATCCGATAGGTTACGAGCGCTCTGACGTCATCCGTCAGGCGGAGAAACTGCGCGGGCGCAAGTACCTGTTAGTGCATGGTACTGACGACGACAATGTGCACTTCCAGCATAGTATGTTGCTTGCCAAGCAGCTGCAGCATAATGATATTGACTTCCAGCAGATGGTAAGAATACTTACGATATCAGTCTACATTGGTCTAACGATTGTTTAATTACCAGAATGTCTGGCTTCAAGTCTATGAATAGAAAATCATCTAGTGTCCAAGTCCAACCACTGGGCATTTAATTTTTGCTACATTTTTTCGCTATAATAAATCCCACCTGTTTTTTGGTTTGCTTTTCTGTTAGTAGAGATAGTAAAAATTCATTGGAATTCAGACCTTAACTCGTCGAGTACCGTATTTATAGACACAAAGAACAATAGGTTGCGGTCACCGGTGACCGCTTGGTTATTGACAGTTTAATAGGTATTATTTACCATCTAGGCAACCAGCTGCCCCGCTGCCTGCAGCTGCAACAACGTGTTGCGGGTTCGAATTCCGCACGAAAAAAGTCTTTGTGTGATCCACAAATTGTTGTTCCGTGTCTGGGTGTCACGTGTATGTGAACTTGTATTTTTGTAAACGCACCCACGACACAGAAGAAGATCTAACTTATTGAGGGGCAACGTTTTATTAAAAAGAAAGAAAGAATAGTTGCTATTCTGCTACCTCGTCGGCCGAGTGGTCGCAAGTGCGACTGCCGGACAAGAGGTCGATTCCCGGGTAGTGCAAAGTATTACTTGGTTTTTAAACAAAAATTCAGTAGTAGCACGGAGTCTGGAATTATGCCCGATATATGACAATAGGTTCACCTCCTATTACATGGGACTCATAACATAAATACATAGTAAAAAGTGAGAGTTATATATTGTACAGTGGCATTATGTGCCGTAATGTGCACCTTTGTCTACCCCTACGAGGTTAAAATGCGAGATGTTATATAAGATAATAACACATATATAATATATAGTTCCTATTCTAAAGTTAGTAATCGTATCGTGTTTGTTCACAGAGCTACGCGGACGAGAAGCACTCTCTACTGGGCGTCAGTCGACATTTCTACCACATGTTGGATCACTTCTGGACTAAATGTTTCGAGTGCTAGTGACCGTGACTCCTCGACTACAAGGAAGTCACTCAGTGGTGTATAGCTCATGGACTATGACTCTTAATTCATAATAGTGATCTCTTTACTCGAAGAAATATCGCGATATAAATGTAATAATAGTGACGCTCGAATTCTATAATAAGTGAAATGAAAATATATTTTTATTTATAAAGATACGCTTAAGAACAAATTGTTGTTTTATTTCCTTTTACAGCAAAACAATGCGGTGCGGTGGAAAGCATTAATATTTATTTAAAGTAAACTTTCCGGTGGTGGAAGTAGACCGTTCCTTAATTCTGCGAATCGTTGAGTAATGTTAAGAAAACGTACTTTATATTTGGTTATTATAGTGGACTGTGCGCTTCTCACGTAGCTTTCTGCCTCGCACAGCAAAACTGTGGAATGAACCGACCTTCAAACCTTCAAGAAAAGTGTGTATTCCTTTTTAAAAGGCCGGTAACGCACCTCTGAATCTTCTGGTGTTTCGGGTGTCCATGGGCGGCGCTGATCGCTTACCATCAGGCGATCCGTGTGCTCGTTTGCCTCCTATTTCATAAAAAAAGTGGAAACAATTATTTAGTGTAAATCTAGCAAAGTTTGTGAAGTCTAGCAATTAGTGTTCTACAAAAACAATGTAGAAGAAAAATCAGTGCGGCGCCAGTTCGGTCCCGTTGCCCTGCCAAATAAAACATTAACTGTTTCGCTTGGTCTTACAAAGGACGCGTTACTTTACACATGTCGTACGATTTATATTCTGCGGTCGACTTCTGTGTACAAAGATTTTATTGTTAGTCGTTATTTTAGTTAAAAGTCGACTTTGTGTGATGGGGGTTTTAGCATGTAATTCCAAAAAATGGTTTAAATTAACGGATTATTGCTATTGGCTAATAAAATAAAGAATATCTAGAATTAATGTAGATTCATTATACAAACGAGTTGAAATAGATGACCTTTAGAAGAATAATAGTTATTTATTTATTATCATCTTGTGCACTTGAATGTATCTTCCTAATAACATAAGTATACTCAGAACTTGGCTCTTTCTGTGTAATTACTTTTGATACAGAGACTATAGGTAAGTAAGTTATTAAAAACTTCTTTCAAAGCTCTATAATACTAATGCATCTATGTCACAAAAATGTATTATCCAGGAGTATTTATGTTCTGTGCCAATGTGTCCTGTCACTTTAGAATTTGAAACCATCTCTATTTATAAATTAGCCATGTAATGAGAAAAAAATTAAATAAATCCCTTTAATTTTTCTGAACCTACACAATGAAAATTGTTTGTAATTTATTAGTGAGAAGACTACGGCTGCAGACTTCAATTGCTTCGATTCGATGGTATATTCTTAAAAATATTTTACAACTATTCTTATCAAGAGATATCGTGACATTATCGAAGATGTTTCTCAGGATAACCCTATCATTATTACTGTAGATGATGGTAGATATTTTAATTATTTAGTTATGTAATTAGTACGAAGATTTGATTTCAAATAGCAGGCTGTAATGGTGTATAGCGATACTTCAGCTTGCTGCCTTGAGCTTGAGAACGAAAGGCAACTATATAATCTTACAGTAAAATATACTGTACTATGGTACTGTAAATTCACCCAGAATTTAGAGGTAATATAAGTATGTTTGTTGTTCCAAAGTGAACTATGGCTTAAAAAGCTAACGTTAAATACATATTCATACCTAAGCAGAAATGACTGACTGCAGGAAACTACATTTGCTTTGCATAGATTTCCATAGAACTGCGACAAACTGAGCGTTGTATATTATTGTCTTATTCAAGCGACTTGTTTGTATGAATATCTTGGTCTGCTGTGAAAACAAAATTCCTACTCAATATGTAAATTGTTACAATCAGGTCTTAATATAATATTAAGATGTACTGTTAAATATATTTATAGGAAGTCGTCGACCGCAAGCCCGGCCGCTGATAAGAAGTCGTCGATCGCAAGCCCGGCCGCTGTTAATGATTGTGGACCAAACTTAGAAGACAGAGCTTTATGTGCAATTGACCCATGTGACGTGAACAAATGCTACGCAGCACCCCGTGTCGTCATCATAGGCGCGGGTATGGCCGGTCTGTCAGCCGCGGCTCGGCTCGCCCAACGTGGCATCAACAACATTGTCGTGCTGGAAGCATACGAGAGGTTCGTATGACAGGAAAATGTCTGTTTCATAATTTGTAGATGTTGTCGACTATGGGTACATTAGTTTACTACTCTTTATCTTTTTTTATTCTAGACCCGGTGGTCGAATTCACTCTTGTTGGCTCGGAGACATTGTTGCTGAACTAGGTTCGCACTGGAAACCAGACAACGCTTTCACGCATCCTATTTATACGATGTCAGCAACCGAAAGTCCGCCCCGACCTGGTGTCCCCGGCTCTGAACATACTCGTGGCCTTTTTAACAGAATAGTTACCGGCAAAATGCCATATCCCGCCACAATATCGGCATACCACAAATTTCGTCAGATTGAACAGGAAGCGGCGCAAATATACTGCCTCGGTGGTAATAAACAGGCAGGCTCACTAATGAACTTTATGAGTCTGAGGATTCAACAAGAACTGCACGAGTACCCTGAAGATCAACAACACGACGCAGCTAGAATAATGTTCGGTCTCTCGCACATGCTCAGTGCGCGGTGTGGGGATGACACGGCGATGCTGTGCGCTGATCATATCGGATGCTTCATGAACATGCCCGGCGGCGAGGTACGAGTACCGCTGGGCTTAGTTGGAATATTGGCTCCGTTGTTGCGACAAATACCAGAAGGAGCTATTCGTTATTGCAAGCCAGTTAATTGTGTTTACTGGGGAACATCACAAAAGGAAGGTTACCGAGCCACCGTATGTACTACAGATGGGGAGGAATTTCCATGTGACTACGTCATAATTACAGTGTCCCTCGGAGTGTTGTGTGCTAATGCTGTCAAAATGTTCTGTCCTGCGCTACCAGCATCAAAAATGGACGCCATGCGATGCCTTGGATTCGGCTATTGCAATAAAATTTACATGGAGTATTGTCGTCCTTTCTGGTTTTGGCATAAAGGTAATCTAAATTTTAAATTCAGCTGTAATGAATTATGTGATCGTTGCGACTGGACTCGAGGTATAACTTCGATAGAAGTGGTGCCAAACAGTAAACATGTGATGTGTGCTTGGGTAGTTGGCAATGAAGCTATGATGATGGAATCCCTTTGCGACAAGGATATCGCGGAAGACTTAACCGAAATATTGCGTTGGTCAACGGGGAACATGTGCTTACCATACCCCATGACAATTTTAAGATCACATTGGACTTCCGATCCGTTTTTCTTTGGAGCTTATTCTTATGATTGTTATCGATCCGATGGGGAAGCACAGCGGGCTTTGGCGTGTCCACTGCCCGGCCCAAGTGAACCTATACCTCCAGTACTATTGTTTGCTGGTGAAGCGACAGTACCTGGTCACTACGCAACTGTGTCTGGCGCTCGACTGAGTGGCGTGCGAGAGGCTGAGAGAGTGGTACATTTAACGCTGCGATATAAAGGCCCGCCTTTGCCCGCTAAGATTAAAAAACCAAAGAAGAAAAAGAAGAAAAAGAAAAGCGAAAGTATGTGGTGAAAACTATTATACTTATACCTTAAGCTGGTACTTTATCTGATCGCAATTTGAAATTTCCTAAGACTAATCCTTTGTCCCCTGTCACAGATTGAGAAATATATGTAAAGTTTCGCGGAACGCTTGTGTTTTACTCTTTTAATATTTTCATTCGGAACTCATGTCTACGGAATAGCTAAGTTATCTCTGACAAGTTGCGCGAGACTCGCTAGTGGCTGTTGTTAGTTTTGAAACTATAATGATACTCAACTTGTTTGATGTCCCATCTTATCTCGGTTTGTTCGTGGTCTGTGATGAAAGCAAAGTCATGTGTATACATACAACTATACGTCCGTGAAGTTACGACGTATTTGTACATTTTGTTTAGGAATTTTACAGAACAGCTCAGCGAAATTGTGAATATAATACATGTTTATTTATTAAAAGTAAAAATATTTAGATTACAGTTTACATTCGCTGACCATTTTATAAGAAAACCTCGTATTTAATATTTTCAGTCAGCATTCACAACCCTGGTTGAAACCAGCCAAAATATGCGATAAATAAATTTAAAATTCAGCCTACATAATCTAACAACATACTACCTAAATCTGGTATTGGCAAAACGTTCGGTATTCAAACAATTTACATAGGTTTCGAACGTCATACATAATGGCTGGAGAATCTGGCTGATTGAGCTATTGTTCGCTATGTTTGCACATCAAGATTGAATGCGGATGGAGGATATGAACAGATACGGTTTACGATATCAAGAGTTATCTTGTTGGTACGCTGATGCCAGAGGAGCATCGAGCTGGAGGTCCATTTTGACGGTCCTTGATTTGATAAAGAAAATATCGATGCATATAATTTCGACTGCACGGTTGGCACGGTAGCTGGACAACTGGCTGCCGTGCAACGTGTAGCGGGTTCGATTTCCGCACGGAGCAACTCTTTGTGTGATCCACAAATTGTTGTTTCGGGTCTAGGTGTCATGAGTATGTGAAATTGTATGTTTGTAAACGCACCCACGACACAGGAGAAAATCCTAATGTGGGGCAACGTATCTAAAAATAAAAAAGTAACAATAGGTATTGTTACTTTTAAACTTAAAACTTAAAACTTAAAACTTAAACTTAAAACTTACACAAGTTTTAAACTTAAAATATGATTTCCTTTTGTTGATAGTTTTCCCGAAGAAGTTTCTCAAAAACCAAAAAGTATTCCACTCTAGTGAAATACGCAAGAAGGTACTTAATAGCAAAGGTGAAAATAAGAGAAAATGCTAGTCCCTACAGCAATAATACTATACTCGTGTGAGTGGAATGTTTCCTCCGTCAGACTAGGTAACGTAGTAATCTAGCTAACTAGAAATTCTTCCAAACTAACTCAATTACTT